TAGGCTATTTATTTATATTCGCAATATTCGCAGTGTATATATAGCATATTCAATGTTGGATTGCATCTTACACTACACTACAAATTAATTTAGTGCACAATTGCTGCTGAATCCAGCGCAATCTGCTTTGCGTGCCGTGATTTCCTTCTCTGTCTGCTGGGATTTCATAATCAAGTGCGGCGGCCAGTAAATAAACTAAGTGCATCACATGCAGTCATATCAAAACAGACAAGAAGAATGGCCGCGCAATTACGAAACATGTTTTACTGTGTAGTGCTACAACGATGTTCATCTTTGTTTTGTTTAAAAATCAAAATGCCTTGTATATAATATTGTACTTTATCATTGAATTGCGCCCTCCCCACCCCCCTGTAAATTATTATTATGTATATCTCCTGTGCTGCAAAATGCTCTAATTTGCATAAATTATGCACGGTTCCAGGTTCCGGTTCCAGGTTCCGGTTCCTGTATCGCTGTATCGTTGTATCGCTTTTTAGTAGTAGCCATTTCAAACACCAGATTAACAAAACAGAGGTTTGATGCTCCAACTGTTGTATTATGTTGCGCTCCAAATGTTTTAATCTTAGAATACATGATAGTTTGGGAACAGCCAACCAAGATCGCGTGACTGCCATCTCTTATGCACTCTCCTCGTATTCTCTGCTCTCATCCTTGTTTGATCCGGGCTAATTAAGTGACAGGCTTAACTTGTAATTGAAAAGCAAGATGAATTTCATTGGTTTATGGCAACATTCGAGCCTTATATGGCATTTTTTGAATTATAAGTAACGTGCGCGCCAACGGCCAAGTTGCCATTTTTACTGTTTTTAAAACGTCGAAGATGGCTCAAACATTTGACGAAACTCTGAATGCCTTAGAAGACGAAACCGTGGACGTTGACGATGCTGGGATATCAACTGATGAAGAAGAAGACTTGGACAGACGTTTGGCGACATCTGACAGCGAGCCAAGGCAAGTATTTATATGTTCCTAGCGAACAGAGGTTGTCGAGGACTCCTCTGTATTAACCACTACTTGTAAACTTGCAAAAATTATGTTCATTCATTCAAGTGCGAGGTCGAAGGATTTGAATTTACATTTGACGCAACCGTGAGGTTGACTCACATGGGCCAGGACAATTTGGTCTATACTCTAAGATACGTATCCACTAAAATATATAGCTATGAGAATTTAATCAATCTATTTAGGGAGTGTTCATTATTTATACCTGGGGTTGGTACCGAAGAGAAACTAATCGAAAAGAGAAAAAAACAACCACCCACCCTTTCAGTCAACCATTTTTTCCCCTACCCAACTATTGCATGACTTGGATTTTTATTTTACCCAACCCAATTTCAAAATTATACAAGTATTTTACATATATACATATATATTATTATACAAGCTAGGCCACTATAGTATAAACAGTACTGTGCATATTTGGTGCACTAACTGAATGTCAAATATAATCATTTGTACCTTCACAAGTTCATATTATGTTACCAAGCCTCCTAGTTCCTGCAGTCCTACCATATCTCGTTGTTGTAATCAGAGGGGATGGGGAGTTGGAGTTTAGTTTTCTTTGTGGGGAATGAACGGATATTTCCTGGAACGACCCATTTTGTTAAATAAAGGATTTTCATATTTTGTTCAATTGAAGGTTTGTATTGAAAATAATTTACCCAACCATAGGCTTTGTTCAAAAAATATTTACCCAACCCTTCATACCCCAGAAAAATGGCTTACCCAACCCATTTCTCTTCGGTACCAACCCCGGGTATAAATAATGAACACTCCCTTATTATTAATCCATACAGAATAAATATAGATGAATTAATTTAAAACATCGTACCCATGATGTTTGAAAGGCATAGCTTAAAAAATTGATGAGTATTCTGCAATCGCTCCCAATTCGTGCAGTGCATTTTTGTTTTATATGAAGATAATACTATGTTACTATGTATCTTTATGTTTATACTATTTTATATTTTTAGTGATGAAGAACCCGCCGACGAAGAAGATGATGGTTTTGAAGTAGTTGACGAGGATCAGGAATGGGAGGAGGATGGTGATTTGGGGGAGGGTAGTGGTGGAAGGGCCCGATCCCCAATTAGGAGACAGGCTGACTCCCTTAGTGGTACTTCTGGTAAAAGGGGGAGGGGTGGTAGAGCCAGGGGTGGTAGGGACAGCAATGATGGGGCTGATGATAATAGTAAGTCTTATGATGATGCAGACACTAAGAATACCCTCCCTCCCTTTGAACCAAGTCGTCTGCCGGGAATTCATTTTGATAGGTGTGTCTTACGGGGAGGTATGACAACTGAATTAGAGTTTTTTTATCTCTTCTTCACCTCTGAGATGATAAAATCAGTTGTTGCCCACACCAACAGCTGTGCATTCATGAAACTTGCAGATGGGGGCCATACTTCATACACTACTAGGGAAGGGGCTTGGCAACAAACTACTGAAGATGAAATAAATCATTTGATTGCTCTTTTGATTTATTTTGGTCTGGTACGAGTGAGCTCAACAGTAGAAAAGTATTGGAGCACAAAGACCCTTTACCACGGTCTCTGGGCAAGGAAGATACTTTCCCGTGGCCGTTATAAATCTCTTATGGCATTCCTGCATGTGGTAGATCCCGCCAATGAGACTCCCGGCAATAAACTGCGCAAGGTTGAGGAATTTCTTGCATCGTTCAAAGAGCGATGCCGTATGTTATACCAACCGTACCAGAATGTTGCTGTGGATGAACGCATGGTTAAGTCCAGACATAGGTCAGGGATTAGGCAATACATGAAAAATAAGCCAACAAAATGGGGGATAAAGCTCTGGGTATTGGCAGACAGTTCTAATGGGTACACTATTGATTTCAACGTTTATATAGGCAAGTCACAGCATGAAGCACCTTCGAGTTATGGTCTAGGCTATGATGTGGTAATGAAGTTGGTAAACCCTTATTTAGGGCAGGGGTATTATGTATATTTTGATAATTTTTTTTCATCCCATAAGTTAGTTCAAGATCTCTTTTTGAATGGGACCCCATCATCAGGCACATGTAAACATAGCAGGGCGGGTTTCCCTAAATCAATGTTGAATGTGAAGGCGTGGGCAAGGAAGTTAAAGCGAGGTAGCATGCGATGGGTACGGGAATCAAATGTGTTAACCCTGCAATGGGTTGATAACAAGCCTGTATCCTTGATCACATCAATTGATTCCGCGAATGACAAAGTGGTTGCGAAGAGAAGGACGAAAACGAGTGGAGTGTTTCAAGAGATAGATGTGAATCAGCCCTATGCATTTCATAGATATAATCAATACATGAACGCAGTAGATAGGTCAGACCAAATGCTTACATATCATAATGTATCCCGTAAGTGTTATCAATGGTGGAAGACATTATTCTTCCACTTAATTGACATGGCAATTGTTAACGGTTTCCTGCTTTTTCAGCAGCATCGTGCAAGTAATCCGGATAACCCGGCTCTGCATCGCAGGTCTCAATATAGCATGGTTGATTTTAGGGAGGAGTTAGTTAGACAGATTTGTGGGTTAGCAGAATATGATAGACCTCCAGTGAATGAGGCAGTACAGGCTGTTCCTCGCCATGATCAGTTCTGTACTGTCCATATACCTAAATCAGCTGAAGGTAATGTGAGGAAGAATTGTGTTGTTTGTTACGCGCAAGGTCGAGGGCAATTGAAAGTCTCTACTTATTGTAGTGCTCCGCAGTGCAATAATAAGCATATGCATGTAGGTGGTGGGCATGATTGTTTTGAGGCATGGCATAGTAGCGATTACACTGGTAGGAGGTAATGAGTATTTATGCTTTTGGTAGTTGAGGTGGACTGGAACATGTCCAATACAAAATTTGTCAAACGAATGAAAATTGTATCATATTATCCCATTATGATTACAATTCATTGTTTGACATACATTTCATTTTTTAATAAAATTTCTGTACTGTTTGTGTTACATTCATGTATATTTAATGTATTTCATTGCTCTATTATTAAAAATTGAAAGAACAAATGTGTTGTGGATTAATTTGTAATATCACTCAGGTCTGATATTTAATTTCTTTTCGCTACCCTACTGGGATTGGCGCCAGGATTCAAAGTTCTAGTATTAATTTCCCATCTGAGAATTCAATATCCCACTTTTGACCCCGATACTAGTTACCGTAAATTTTGGCATCCCTGAACCATTAAAGTAAGCATGTATACTGTACAATGCATGTATATGTCTTTCATTGGACTCAACAGTCGACAACTTTACAGTATAACACCAGATTCGAAATCGAAGGCTGGTTACTTTGAAGAAGGCAGACTCATTCAAAGCTATTGGGAGACCACCTTTATCCTAAAGTTTGAAATTTTCTAATATCCTGTCAGGATAGAAGTCATTCATAGTTTGGTATCCAAAATCAAATTTTAGTATCCCGTCCATATCGCGACACTGTGAATTTAAAACCCCTGTAAAGCCTGCATGGTTCACATATGCCTGCGGTATGCCTGCGACTGTATCATTATGCCTCTACTTGCCGCCGAAATACCGGCAAAGTTGAACTCAAGTCAACTTTCCCGGCCTACCGCCGATGTAACTGTGTCACTGGAGGCAATCGGCGAACAAATATTCACATAATTTACGTTTTAAGCTACCACCGGCACGTCGCCGGTAGTCGCAGGCATATATGTGAACCAGGCTTAATATTACGCTAGGACCAGGTAACATTTCAAAACGGTGTCATTCAATCTTGCACCGGTACCTTTGGGTGCCTGCACAAACCGTTTCTTTTACTCAAACAAGTGCAAACATTTCCCTTGAACTGGTAAAACATAAAGGTGTCAACTATACTTTAAAAATTATGTTGTCGAACACATTTCCCCCCCCCCCAGGGAGGTTGAATTTCAGACCATGGTGGTGTATAAAACATTCTAAAACTACTTCGAAGAGGTTTTGGTAATTTAGAAGCTATATTTCACAAGTCACATGGGCGATGATATTTGCTTTATAGTCTAACTGAACTTAAACAGCACACGATTAGACTGGTCATGAATTTGACTGATTTATAAATTTCATCTCATTAAAATATTCTGGCTTCAACACCGGCTCAGTGCCCACACTCCACAGGAAAAATATTTCCACATCGCAAATTCAACCCGAACAACTTCAATTTTACTACACTCAAACTTTCCATGATACTGTATGATCGACTTCCACTAAATATCGATTCAAGGTTGAGTTTTTGGAGCCGTTTAGCGGCCACAAAAAAGTTCTGAAATGACCCAATATCTTCTGAGCCCTAACTATAGTTATCTGTATATATGGGTATTACAATTCGCTTTGAAGAACAGACAAATGTGAGGATCACAAACGACACTGCTGATTATGTATTAAACGAGTTCTAGCGTTGCTAAACTCAATGACAATTTTGATGGACATATAAAGAAAAAAATATATAATTTAATTATAAAGCATTTTATCTTCTTCCTGTAATCTATCTTCCTGTGATCAGCACTGGTAAAGATAACTCGAGAGCACTTCGAGTCGTAATGAAATAAGGGTAATTAGTGTGATCCTTGAGAGATTCATCCGGCAAGTCATTGATGTATATGAGGAATACAAGTGGTCCAAGGACTGAACTCCGGGGGCCACTCAGAAGCAAATCCATCGAGAACAACTCGATGACGCGTCTTGTACCAAACCAATCTAGGATCGAACCAATTCTAGAATCGAACCAAGAGAGCAAAGGGTTCCAGATACAAATTGCTACAAATTGATCAGCAAGACAGCAATGGAATGGAATGCTTTCTTCCACTTTATATCTAAACTGAGAAAGACGTCATCCCAAGTGATAATACAAAGAGCTTGTCTCGACCCGTTAAAATGAACACTTTTAGAATTATGAAGCCCTGGTCAAACGGGGGGACATTTCTTTAGAATGCATGATAGTTTTGGGGAAGCATTAGCAACAGCTAACTCTCATGCCCGTTTGATCCGGGTTAATTGACAGGCTAAATTAGGGTGATTAATTTTGGATACAAAATTCAAAAGTGACAGGCTTAAGTGACAGGCTTAACTTAACTTGTAATTGAAAAGCAAGATGAATTTCATTGGTTTATGGCAAGATCCGAGCCTTATATGGCATTTTTTGGATTATAAGTGGCGTGCGCGCCAACGGCCAAGTTGCCATTTTTACTGTTTTAAAAACGTCGAAGATGGCTCAAACATTTGACGAAACTCTGAATGCCTTAGAAGTTGAAACCGTAGAAGTTGAAACCGTGGACGTTGACGACGCTGGGATATCAACTGATGAAGAAGAAGACTTGGATAGACGTTTAGCGACATCTGATTGCGAGCCAAGGCAAGTATTTATATGTTTGTAGCGAACAGATGTTGTCATGGAAGGCGAGCTAGGTCGAAGGATTTGAATCTACTTAATTTCGACGCAACCGTCAGCTTGACTCACATGGGCCAAGACAATTTGGTCTATAATCTAAGATCTGTTTCGAAATATGACAAATACGTAAAAAACCTATTTAATATGGCATTTACTTCTGTCATATATTGCCACAAAAATCCAAAGTTTGAACCGATCTTCAAATGTGCGAGCATGAAGTACACATGGCATACGTTTAGCATTTAGAAATTTATCTCTGCAATTTAATTTTTGTTTTATATAAAGTAACATAATACCATGTATGTTTATACCATTTTATTTATAGTGATGAAGAACCCGCCGACGAAGAAGATGATTTTGAAGTAGATGATTTTGAAGTAGATGACGAGGATCAGGATTGGGGGGAGGATGGTGAATTGGGGGAGGGTAGTGATGGAAGGGCCCGATCCCCAATTAGGAGACAGGCTGACTCCCTAAGTGGTACTTCTAGCAATAGGGGAAGGGGTGGTAGAGCCAGGGGTGGTAGGGCCAGGGGTGGCAGGACCAGGGGCAGCAATGATGGGGCTAATGATAATAGTAAGTCTTATGATGATGCGGACATTAGGAATACCCTCCCTCCCTTTGAACCAAGCCGTCCGCCAGGAATTCATTTTGATAAATATGTATTACGGGGAGGTATGACAACTGAATTAGAGTTTTTTTATCTCTTCTTCACCACCGAGATGATAAAATCAGTTGTTGCCCACACCAACAGCTGTGCATTCATGAAACTTGCAGCTGGGGGCCATACTACATACACTACTAGGGAAGGGGCTTGGCAACAAACTACTGAAGATGAAATAAATCATTTGATTGCTCTTTTGATTTATTTTGGTCTGGTACGAGTTGGCTCATCAGTAGAAAAGTATTGGAGCACAAAGACCCTTTACCACGGTCTCTGGGCGAGGAAGATACTTTCCCGTACCCGTTATAAAGCCCTAATGGCATTCCTGCATGTGGTAGATCCCGCCAATGAGATTCCTGGCAATAAACTGCGCAAGGTTGAGGAATTTCTTGCATCGTTCAAAGAGCGATGCCGTATGTTATACCAACCGTACCAGAATATTGCTGTGGATGAACGCATGGTTAAGTCTAAACATAGGTCAGCGATTAGGCAATACATGAAAAATAAGCCTACAAAATGGGGGATAAAGCTCTGGGTGTTAGCAGACAGTTCTAATGGGTATACTATTGATTTCAATGTTTATATAGGCAAGTCACAGCATGAAATACCTTCGAGTAATGGTCTAGGCTATGATGTGGTAACAAAGTTGGTGAACCCTTATTTAGGGCAGGGGTATTATGTATATTTTGATAATTTTTTTTCATCCCCTAAGTTAGTCCAAGATCTCTTTTTGAATGGGACCCCATCATCAGGCACATGTAAACATAACAGGGCGGGTTTCCCTAAATCAATGTTGAATGTGAAGGCGTGGGCAAGGAAGTTAAAGCGAGGTAGCATGCGATGGGTACGGGAATCAAATGTGTTAACCCTGCAATGGGTTGATAACAAGCCTGTTTCCTTGATCACGTCAATTGATTCCGCGAATGACAAAGTGGTTGCGAAGAGAAGGACGAAAACGAGTGGAGTGTTTCAAGAGATAGATGTGAACCAGCCCTATGCATTTCATAGATATAATCAATACATGAACGCAGTAGATAGGTCAGACCAAATGCTTACATATCATAATGTATCCCGTAAGTGTTATCAATGGTGGAAGACATTATTCTTCCACTTAATTGACATGGCAATTGTTAACGGTTTCCTGCTTTTTCAGCAGCATCGTGCAAGTAATCCGGATAACCCGGCTTTGCATCGTAGGTCTCAATATAGCATGGTTGATTTTAGGGAGGAGTTAGTTAGACAGATTTGTGGGTTAGCAGAATATGATAGACCTCCCATGAATGAGGCAGTACAGGCTGTTCCTCGCCATGATCAGTTTTGTGCTGTCCATATGCCTAAAACAGCTGAGAAGAGGAAGAATTGTGTTGTTTGTTACGCGCAAGGTCGAAGGCAATTGAAAGTCTCTACTTATTGTAGTGCTCCGCAGTGCAATAATAAGCATATGCATGTAGGTGGTGGGCATGATTGTTTTGAGGCATGGCATAGTAGTGATTACACTGGTAGGAGGTAATGAGTATTTCTGCTTTTGGTACTTGAGGTGGACTGAAACATGTCCAATACAAAATTTGTCAAACGAATGAAAATTGTATCATATTATCCCATTATGATTACAATTCATTGTTTGACATACATTTCATTTTTTAATAAAATTTCTGTACTGTTTGTGTTACATTCATGTATATTTAATGTATTTCATTGCTCTATTATTAAAAATTGAAAGAACAAATGTGTTGTGGATTACTTTGTAATATCACTCAGGTCTGATATTTAATTTTTTTCCGCTACCCTACTGGGATTGGCGCCAGGATTTAAAGTTCTAGTATTAATATCCCATCTGAGAATCCAATATCCCACTTTTGACCCCGATACTAGTTACCGTAAATTTTGGCATCCCTGAACCATTAAAGTAAGCATGTATACTGTACAATCGACAACTTTACAGTATAAACACCAGATTCGAAATCGGCAAAGGCTGGTTACTTTGAAGGAGGCAGACTCATAGTATTCAAAGCTATTGGGAGACCACCTTTATCCTAAAGTTTGAAATTTTCTAATATCCAGTCAGGATAGAAGTCATTCATAGTTTGGTATCCAAAATCAAATTTTAGTATCCCGTGCATATCGCGACACTGTGAATTTAAAACCCCTGTAAAGTCTGGTTCACATATGCCTGCGGTATGCCTGCGACTGTATCATTATGCCTCTACTTGCCGCCGAAATACCGGCAAAGTTGAACTCAAGTCAACTTTCCCGGCCTACCGCCGATGTAACTGTGGCACTGGAGGCAATCGGCGAACAAATATTCACATAATTTACGTTTTAAGCTACCACCGGCACGTCGCCGGTACGTCGCAGGCATATATGTGAACCAGGCTTAATATTACGCTAGGTAACATTTCAAAACGGTGTCATTCAATCTTGCACCGGTACCTTTGGCTTTGGGTGCCTGTACAAACCGTTTCTTTTACTCAAACAGGTGCAAACATTTCCCGTGAACTGGTAGAACATAAAGGTGTCAACTATACTTTAAAAATTATGTTGTTGAACACATTTTTTCCCCAGGGAGGTTGAATTTCAGATCATGGTGGTGTACAAAACATTCTAAAACTACTTCGAAGAGGTTTTGGTAATTTAGAAGCTATATTTCACAAGTCACATAGGCGATGATATTTGCTTTATAGTCTAACTGAACTTAAACAGCACACGATTAGACTGGTCATGAATTTGACTGATTTATAAATTTCATCTCATTAAAATATTCTGGCTTCAACATCGGCTCAGTGCCCACACTCCACAGGAAAAATATTTCCACACTGCAAATTCAACCCGAACAACTTCAATTTTACTACACTCAAACTTTCCATGATATGATCGAGTTCCACTAAATATCGATTCAAGGTTGAGCCGTTTAGCGGCCACAAAAAAAGTTCTGAATGACCCAATATCTTCTGAGCCTTAACTATAGTTATCTGTATATATATGGGTATTACAATTCGCTTTGAAGAACAGACAAATGTGAGGATCACAAACAACACTGCTGATTATGTATTAAACGAGTTCTATAGCGTTGTTAAACTCAATGACCCATTTGATTGACATATAAAGCAATATATATATAATTATAAAGCATTCTATCTTCTTCCTGTAATCTATCTTCCTGTGATCAGCACTGCTAAAGATGACTCGAGAGCACTTCGAGTCGTAATGAAATAAGGGTAATTAGTGTGATCCTTGAGAGATTCATCCGGCAAGTCATTGATGTATATGAGGAATAGAAGTGGTCCAAGGACTGAACTCTGGGGGCCACTCAGAAGCAAATCCATCGAGAACAACTCGATGACGCGTCTTGTACCAAACCAATCTAGGATCGAACCAATTCTAGAATCGAACCAAGAGAGCAAAGGGTTCCAGATACAAATTGCTACAAATTGATCAAACGACAGCAATGGAATGGAATACTTTCTTCCACTTATCTAGACTGAGAAAGACGTCATCCCAAGAGATAATACAAAGAGCTTGTCTCGACCCGTTAAAATGAACACTTTAAGAATTATAAAGCCCGGGTCAAAGACGTCAAACGGGGGACATTTCTTTAGAATGCATGATAGTTTTGGGGAAGCATTAGCAACAGCTAACCAAAGATCGCATGACTGCCTCTCTCAAGCACTCTCATGCCCGTTTGATCCGGGTTAATTGACAGGCTAAATTAGGGTGATTAATTTTGGATACAAAATTCAAAAGTGACAGGCTTAAGTGACTGGCTTAACTTAACTTGTAATTGAAAAGCAAGATGAATTTCATTGGTTTATGGCAAGATCCGAGCCTTATATGGCATTTTTTGGATTATAAGTGGTGTGCGCGCCAACGGCCAAGTTGCCATTTTTACTGTTTTTAAAACGTCGAAGATGGCTCAAACATTTGACGAAACTCTGAATGCCTTAGAAGTTGAAACCGTGGACGTTGACGACGCTGGAATATCAACTGATGAAGAAGAAGACTTGGATAGACGTTTAGCGACATCTGATTGCGAGCCAAGGCAAGTATTTATATGTTTCTAGCGAACAGATGTTGTCATGGAAGGCGAGCTAGGTCGAAGGATTTGAATTTACATAATTTCGACGCAACCGTCAGCTTGACTCACATGGGCCAAGACAATTTGGTCTATAATCTAAGATCTGTTTCGAAATATGACAAATACGTAAAACTATTTAATATGGCATTTATATGGCATTTACTTCTGTCATATATTGCCACAAAAATCCAAAGTTTGAATCGATCTTAAAATGTGTGAGCATGAAGTACACGTGCATACGTTTAGCATTTAGAAATTTATCTGTGCAATTTAATTTTTGTTTTATATAAAGTAACAAAATACCATGTATGTTTATGTTTATACCATTTTATTTATAGTGATGAAGAACCCGCCGACGAAGAAGATGATTTTGAAGTAGATGATTTTGAAGTAGATGACGAGGATCAGGATTGGGGGGAGGGTGGTGAATTGGGGGAGGGTAGTGGTGGAAGGGCCCGATCCCCAATTAGGAGACAGGCTGACTCCCTAAGTGGCACTTCTAGCAATAGGGGAAGGGGTGGTAGAGCCAGGGGTGGTAGGGCCAGGGGTGGCAGGACCAGGGGCAGCAATGATGGGGCTAATGATAATAGTAAGTCTTATGATGATGCGGACATTAGGAATACCCTCCCTCCTTTTGAACCAAGCCGTCCGCCGGGAATTCATTTTGATAAG